ATGAGCTGGAGCCAGCAATGCAAGCCTGGCATACTCTGGGCAGCCACCATGGTCCAGTGCAAACTTCCTGGCATGCACGAGTGCAAACCTGACTCCCAGATAAGTCACAGAGCTCTGCTGGAGTTTTAGGCTGCTTTAAAGAAAACTTCTGATTTTAAAAAGGTCTTTGCCTTTTTTCTTGTAAAATTCCATGTGCTCCCCTTGACCTGTTCCTCCAGCAGCCCCATGCCCAAGCTCACCAGCTGGTTCTCCCCAGCATGGTGTCGTTTGCAAACACGTTAACGGTGCACTGAATTGTCTCCTTCGAGTCACTGACAAAACGTTCAAGATGCCAGGTGAGACCCCTGCAGCCTTTCTCTTGTCACCAGACTCTGCCTGGAGGTCAGCCTGGTACACACTGAGGACCATCACTCTGAGCCCAATCCATCAGTCAATTCTTTACCCAGCCCACAAAACCCTGAACCTTGATATCAAAACAGGGTGGGAAACAGTGTTGAAAGGCTTCCTGAGTTGAGGTAAAACTGCTCTCTCCTCATCCACAGATTCAGACACTTCACCACAGAGGGCAATCCTGGTGGTCAGGTGTGGCTGACTCCAGTAAATTCATACATTTATACAGACCATTCCCAACCAATTCTCTTTCACGTGTCCAGAAACATGTTCCTGGAGGACTCATTGTGTGACTTTCCATGCACAGAAGCAAGGATGACTCCCTGCAGTTCCCTGCATTGTTTTCCAGGCCTTGCTTGAGGAAGGAGGGCACCACTTGCTTTCCTCCAGCCACCAGGAATTTCCCTTGGATTTCCATTATTTCCCAATGGAATTTCCATTAAAGATGCTCATGAAAGATATCCCAGCATCCTTGTGACGGCATCAGCAGGCGTTCTCTCCATCTTAGATGGGCTCTGTCAGGTGCCTGTGCATTTGTATGGGTCGAGTCCTCCAAAATAACCCCTGCCTTGATCCTTACCCACTGCTCCTGCCTCTTCTCCTCATTCTACCTCCTCACAGGGACCTTGGAAATCAGCTTGGTCAAGAGGCAGAGGAGGCTCTGGGTACTGTATCTACTGTCACTAAATCACCCAGCAACAGCTCCCCATCTTCCTTGTCCAGGACCTAACTCCTGAAAGACAGAGGGGAATGGTCTGGAATATGTCACATTCAGTCCCAGCAATATGAAGATGTCAAAGAGTTCTAAGGGATTGCTCTGGTGCTACAAGTGGAAAACAGGTGTGTATTTTCTATTTCCACTCCCCAGCCCTTCAAGGACATCCATTACAAATAATACTGCTGGAAAGAAGTTATCACAAAGCAGCTCCTGGCAGCAATGCAAGAGCCCAAACTTTAGAACCTGGGAGTGACAGATGCCTTCCCAGATACCCTACAAACACAACAAAATTTGCTTTCAGTAATCATCATGGATATATTATTTAGCTGAACATGAAATGTTTACACATAACTTTCTGACTGCAAATTGTATGTTCTTTATTGTTATTATTGTTACTAACGATACACAAATATCACCCATTTTTGCTTTGTCTCTGATATTCCCAACAATGGCTGGCAACTATAAAAGTTGGCAAACTCTGAAGAAATTAAGAATTTGTACTATGTTTTAATTAGCACACATCTAATGTTTTAGACTTGCAAGTATCCTTCCCGCTTTTCAAATGAATTTCTTCAGAACCACTAGTTATAAAACCACTGTTTTTCCCCAGCTACCGACCATCCGGATTTTACAGAAACCATGGAAAATAATTACTGTGAAATAGCCCTGACACACGGCCCTGTTTAATTACAGATGAACAGCTTTGCATTCCTACCCTGTCTGTAAGAGCAGGCACTTGAACTCGGTCCGGGATCCCAGCTGCACGAAGGGCTGCCCCTGGTGCCATCTCGTGGTGGTCTGCAGGAGATCCCAGGGCGTTCAGAGAAGTGATTGTGCTCTACTGCTTCTGTTCAGTTAAACTGATGTGAAAACTGGGTTTAGCACACCCTAATCCATGCTTTGCACTAAGATTTAGGGAATTGTGAGATTTAATCACTGTCTCTACTTGCATTTTTGGTGTTTGCACGTTGCTTGCTAATTTTTCCCTCTACAACGTCAGAAGCATTTTTTTTAAATGTAGTAATTTAAGAAGTGCTAATGTTACTATAAATAAGAGTCTCTCAATAACTGAAGTCTTAAAAGTCTAGAATAGCAAGCAAGAAACATCAAAGTCTAGAACAGAAAGCAAGCCCAGCACATATTCACAATGTTGTCCCTGAGTATTAAGTTTTCCTTGTGGTTTAATCCCTCACCTTTTCCACATCTATGGTTTCTCATTTAAAATTTTTTATCTTCCCAGTTAAAGGTTACTCTAACTACCCCCCATCCTCATTTCTGCAACTGACCTGTTGCATGCAAGTGCTCCCATGGTCAGAGCTCTACAAGGACATTTAAGGATCAAGAATTTTCTGAAGTTTTCTGGCCTTCCAACATGTGTACACAACATTGGGATTCAGATCTCTACTTACCACCATGCAAAACCCCGAATTCACTTCAAACCTGCAATTTTAACTTGACTTTACAACAGATCCAGGTAAGACAGGCAGGAAAAGCCACACTTACCAAGTGATAAACAGTGCATTTACCATCCAGAATGCCCTGAGCAAGAGCTCATCTTGACAATTTTAAGCCTTCATGTTTTGGCAGGCTGCTGCCCTGCTGTGGTCAGTGCAGTAATGAAAGAAACACTCCCATGGCCCCCCTATTTCCAGCTTGGTTGTTTTCGTAAACTCTGTTTGAGTGTTTCTTTTATCATGGTTTTGGTATGTGAGGGTAACCAACGTCAAAATCTATACCTAAACCAAGTGCACATGCATTCTGTTCAGCCTGACCCTTCCCCAGCAATGAACTTCTGAGGAATAAGTGCAGATAATTTTTGGCAGTGCTGGGCTTGTGGTGACTGACTTCAAAAGCCTCCTGTTTGGAGTAAGCTCATCAAGGTCTTGTAACAAGATGTGGCAAGGCCAGTCAGCGACTACACAACACCCCGGGTGAAATCGTGTCACAGAAATGATGTCAGAAAAACCTTAGCCAATATTTTTGTTATAATCCAGACCTGAACCTTATCAATGATGACTAACCACAAGGCCATGCATTAAAGTCAGAGTTTTCCTTGGCATTAGTGGGAGTTAACGCCTTCCAAATGTATTTTGCTTTATTAACCCTTTCACAACAGCTCATCTCATGCTCCCATGCATAAAAAGGCTTTTGCCTATGAGCACATCAACCCCACTCCTCATCCAGTAGAGCAGCAGGTTCAGCAGTGTGAGAGGCCAGAAAGAGGTGTTATTTTGTGCTTTGAAACACAGATCCAGACCCTACCCTAGGGGATACCCTATCCTGCTCTAAAAAGAACAGGAGATAATTTCTGGGTACATTTTAAGCTCTCTAGATTCCTGACCTGCAAGTTTAATAGATTTATGGTGCAGCCTTGAACTGAAGTGACCACAAACATAAGTGACAAATCTTAAAGCATTTCTTCTGCCAGGAAAAGTTTTAAGAATCTCTCTTGGACTGTCAGCTAAACTTTATTCTACAGCAAGGTAGCAATGCTGTAAATTCACAATCAATCCAAGGCCAATGGATCAGGGCTAATACTTTTAAAAAGACTGACAAGGTCCCTATTACATTTTTTCAAGCACCACACCAGGGCCACAAGCATCATTTTTCACCATTACCTTCAGCTACAACAATTAGAAAAGCAAATCATTGAAACATCTTCAGCTGTTTTGAAATCACAGCCACCCAGATCAGCATTACAGAAGAAAAATCTCTATTACCTTTGTAAATATTTACTTCATGTCTGAAGAGTAGGATCCAAATGCCTACATTTAACATCTTCTTGAAGTGTCACAGTCTTGAAAAGAGATTATAACATCACACAGAGATTTCTCTGCACATTCTCTCCAACAGAAGCCTTAAAAAGCATATGCACATGTCTTAGTTAATAAACTTTGCACAGCAGCTGCTGGTGGTGCCAGGGTTGTTTATTTTGTTTGTGAGGTTCACCATGTTTACAACGTGGCTTAGCAGGTGTAGGGTCTTTAGCATCAACCTCCTCAAAGTTATCCAACTCTCCAGGTGGAGCTCTACCACCTTCTCTATCAGCTATGAGGAGCTGCATGTTAAAAAACCTTATTTTTGTCACACTCCACTACTTAAAGCCATTCTACCATGAGTGAAAGGTTAAAAAATAAAAGGAAAACAATTATAAAATGTAAAGATATGTTCACTGAACAAGTTCAGTCTCAGCACACATGCTGTAATCTGTTGTCTTAACTCATTCTAAAGCCACATATTCAGTGATTTACCTCCAGAGAGCTTTACATAGTTAAGAAAACACGTGGTGTTTGCAACAGGCTGTAATTTCTTACATTTGACTTGAAAAATGCAATGCATCTCCCAAATGTGTTTCCACTGTAACTCCTTCTTTGAATCTTCCACACACTCCTCCTAAGTAGCCTTTCACCAACCAATAAATCCAGCAGGGAGGGGAAGCTACCCACTCTCTCAAAACTGCATTACACAAGCTAATCTAAATTACATTTTAAAAAACTTAAATTCCTCTGCAATGCCTGGCAGTAGCTTGAGTCCAAGGTTTAATGCCTTGTTGCTGCAAAGGTACCTGGAACTTGTTTCAGCCCTGTTTTCTCAGGAGACACTTCCAGATTTATGGCAGAGCACCTGACAGTGAGCACAGCCTGAAAACACAAGGATTGTAGACTGGACCACTGACTGCACACTTCAAGCCAAAGCAAACATCAGCTTTTGTCATCTGTCATGACTTAAGCTGAAATGTTTCTTGAAAGTGAAGTTTCTTTACTTCCAAGCTTGAGGAAAATGCTGTTGCAGATATGTGTTGCTGTACCCTAGCCAGGTTCCATCACTCCCTTTTCCCCTCTACCCCCCCAAAAATGCAGGATTTGGAAGAGATGCAGAAAGAGGCAGTGTGTTTACCCCCCAAAAATGGTTAGATCATCTTTAATTCTAGCACCTGAAGTTATACAAGGGTTTGCTTAATAATCAAGTTTCAAAGAACTGTTGGACACATTCAATTAAGGTGACAACTGTGCAATACCACTCAGTATTTCAATATCAGGGACCATACTCTTGAATTGTTTAAACACAATCCACAGAACTCAAATTTAAACAACCATCCACAGTTTAACTAAACAATCAGTTAAAAGTCTTACAGTTTAATAATTCACATAATGGTCAGTCTTTAGTAAGGGATACTGAAATTCATTAAAACACAACACTAGATTTTACTCTATAGGTGTGCTGGGCAGGCACATAATTGGCCACTCTTGGGTATAACCAGGAGAGTAAGGAGAAATTTACCACAGTTTGGCAAATCCCACATATTGTCAGTTAAAAGTGAACTGTGAGAATTAAATACTCATCTTTACATATACACAAGTTATGCTGTGAAAGCATATTTGCTTACAAACATATAAAAATACTTGTTAACTAGTTTGATAAGAAAATAATGTATAAAAGTATATAGCAAAAACATTTAATCATCTCTGACAATGGAAAGATCAAATTCGTTTTTATATCACATGAAACAAAAACAGCTACAATTTTAGTTTTCCTTAATCCCTTACCCAGAAATACAAAGGAAGACACAATTTGTTTTCAAACATAATGTGAAATTTCTTAATAAGCTGAAATGCCTCAATCCAGAAGGAGCTCAGGTATTTGGCCATATCCTAATAGTAGTAGTAATCATCCTGTAGCTGTTCTGGATTCCAAAAATAAATACAGTAGAATGTTTTGGCCACCGAAATAAAACTGCAGCATAAATGAGAGATGAAAATTTTTGCTGACAATGAAATTCAGTGTAGGTTTCTTAAGGCTAGCTGAATACTCAAGTCTAATTTAACTGAGGGCAGAAACAAACAAACAAAAAAAAGCCAATCCACCCCTTTTTTAAAAAGTATTCTCTATACTCCAATATAGGTCTCTGTAATACCTAATGAAATGTCAGAAGTAAAAATAAATTAATTCACAAGAGACAACTTATGCATGACTTCAACACCTCATCCTACACGGTTTTGTTTCATCTCCTTTGCGAATAAAACTCCACAAGGTGCAAGCTCTGAAGGGACAGAAGGAAGGAACTGTGGTATTAGAGAAGCAGCCTTAGTGTTTTGGTTTGAAGTCTGCCCCAGGATGACCGAGTCTTCTTCAAGAACTATTCTGCCAGCTTCTTGGACTAAGGCTATTCTGGTGACCACTTTTAGGACATGCACATATAAGGCTAGACCAATACCAGAAGTGATGTAAAATGATGGAAAGAAAAAAAAAATATCTGGCAGTTGATAGCTTGGTTCTTGGGATTTTCAGAAAATAACACAATGGCAGCCTTTCTTGTCTTTTTCTTTCCGTGTTGGCTCTGGTGAAGGAGGGCACTCTTGTTCCTGAAATTTCCTGGAAACAGGAATTTCAAATTAAATTCATAGAATAATTTGCAGGTAAATAAACACAACTACTTTTTCCACACTTTCTTTTTATACTTTCATAGGGAATGCACTTCCTTTTTACATTCAAATTACTGATAAAGTGATAGTTTTTGAGTTCACCTTTTGGAGTGGTTTTTTTTTGGTTTTTTTTTTTAAGAAACCAAATGTTTTACAGAAGGCAGTTTATCACATTTACTGACTGGGTGATCAATAAAATCTGAAAGGTTAAGACAACAACATTCTCTTTTAAATATATATTAAATTCATGTCAGCATTTTTCCTAATGCACCTGAGTTTTATAATGGATATTATTGGCTAAAGCTTAGAGGTAACAGCAGGCAGCAGAATCCTCCCAGCAATTTCCCACTGCATTTCAACACCTTTGCTGCAGCTATCCATTAATACGTGTACATGAATTATCTGGTCTCAATTACCATACCTTATAACTCTGACAAGTTCATGAAAAGCTTGGTCTACATTCAATCTGATTTTTGCTGAGGCTTCCATGTAGATTACTTTAAGTTGCCGTGCCAGCTGCTGGCCTTCCTCTTGTGTCACCTGCAACAGACATCAGTCATTAAGCTCAAGGGTTCTGCAAGCAGCTTTGTGCCAGTACACTGCATATGCATGTAGAGAGAGATCCAGCACTCTCAAAATATAATGGTCATTTGGGCACAGCACAGTTTTCACCTTGCCCAAGTTATACAGCTGGGAAACAGTTTTTTTAAAGGAAGTTTCTGCAAAAGACAAAGACTGACTTTCCAAGAAATTCCCCTCACTCCAGGTACCTCCACTTCAGTTCTGAACAAGCCAAGTTTTCCTCCACAGGCAAACATTAGTCCCTTGCTCCTCCTCAAAGCCAGTGCTTCAGTCAGCATCTGCTGGATTGCTAATAGAATTCTGAATATTATTGCTAAACTCACCTTTGCATTGTCCCAGCTAAAGCTAGAGAAACCAACAAAAAAAAAAATCAGACTACTCTTAAAACAACTTCTGTTTAGCTTCTAAGCCTTTATAAAAGTAATTTTAAAAATATCTATTATATGACATAGCAAAATATTAATACAGCCAGTTTTAAATATAGCTTAGATTACCAGAGTTTTTAAAATCCATCAGGCCTTCAGGCAATCCAGAAATATTAAAGAAACCCTGGCTACATAATGACTCCCTGAGACAACAGTGGAAAAGGAGATGAACAGGAAATAACAAGCATCATGAAAAGTTGGTACAAAATTTGAAGTGATGAGGCAGAAGACAGGAAGCTAGTGGACCATTCTAGGAAGGAGGAAGAAGTTGGGTACAAGACAAAACCAAAGGAGACCACTGTGTATTTTTGGATGAGGTGGAAAGCAGTGAGTCAGAGAACAGAGGCCACCCTGAGTGGTGCAGGGCTCCAACAGGAAGGTCACCCCAGGGCCAGGGAGGAAAGGGCAGCTTTCAGTGACAAAAGGAAGTACAACAGATCTTGCCAAGACAATGCCTAATGAAGAAATATCAAAGATTACACTGCTTTCACAGAAAAACATTAAACCAGCACGTAGGGGACTGATACAAGAACAAAAATAAGGAGGGTTTATTTTTAAATTAGTTCTGAAAAGGAACTCAAGAGTATTCATTAGATTAAGCAGCTACACAGAAATGGAAACAGATGGGAATAGAAGAGGAGTGGCAGCATGTACCACAGTGCATGGCCTAGAAGTACTTTTCAGCTTGCAAAATAGTTTCCTAACAGCTACACAGTGGTTTAAGATGTATGGCATCTCCACATGCTTGATTCTTCTGTCCTTGGCATCCCACTGGCACTGTATCCATACACCTCCTGCTGAAATCAGGGCTGCTCCCACTAAACCCTTGTGAAGCTCTACAAAATGCTCCCAGCACTCTGTGCCATTAGCTGGAGTAATTCAGGATGCATCTGCTGATGTCAAACACTCACAGCAACTCTGCATTCATTTCTGTGTTATCATCACCAGCTGAAGCCAAGAAAGAAACTCTCAAGACCAACTCAACCCCAAGATCAGCTACTGGAGATGCCTTTTTAACTGCAGGGCACATAAGGAGAACTGGAACTTCAGTCCTCTACTGCTGTTTGAAAACTGAAAAATAATGAAGAGTCCTGCTCCCGCAGCTAGAACAGTTCCACTTCAACCCTCCACTCTGACCTCAGATGTTGAAATGTTGCAATTGCAAAGCTTATGAAGACTGCACTTGGACAAATATTTGTAGCTCTTTTCTGGCACTTCAGTGACTGTAGAATCCCTTAAAGTCTGCACCAGTGCTTCCAGAACCTTCTGTACATCTCTACCTCAGACTAGTAAGTTACAGATATAACAGTTCTAGCAAACTAACTCCTTTTGCTTTACTTTATCCCTGGAGTTTACTGCAGCCCCAGAAAGTGAGAGGCTGAAGTTCAACAAAAATAAATAATTGGCAAGGAATGTATAATTCTGAGGAGAAGCTGAACTCAATCTTTAAACACATGTTTAGAGAATTTCTTCACTATTGTACCTAAAACACACTACAGGTACAAGTCAAACTAACACTGTAGTGAAGTTAAGCTACACTTCCACAATATCCTGCATGTAAAACATTATAAATACACTAAAGTTCTTGTTCTATTTACTAGAATCTCTGTAACTGTTAAATTCCAAAATAATTTTTGCCAGTCTCACGAGTATATTGTCAAGTTACTTGTGGTCAATTTTGGTGACCTCAAAAGTCAGTTTAAAAAAATATTTAGTTTGGAAACTCTATGGGCAGTGGTTGTAAATTAGAGATGTAAATTAGAGGCCAGAACATACCAGTTCCATCTTCAAAGCTGAGGGAAATGTAAGTACAAACATAGAAATACTTGTAAATAAAAACATGAATTTTCATCTTTTTGTTGTCCCTTCTTGAGTATGACAACCCTGTAACATGACAGGTTTTCCAGGAAGTGTGATGGGAGACCTTATTTAACATCACCACTAAAATAAAAAGTAAATTCTTTTTCTTCAAAGAAGACTGGATGTTATTTTGACAGAACTAAAGAGAACCACAGATTTGATGGTAGTGATTGTGTGTACATCTGTGTGTGTTGGTTCTGCAGTTTTACTGAATTTAAGGCTGAATACAAATGAGAACCACTCATAATGCTCACCCTTTTGCCATAGGATATTTTACTGTTTCTTTCTGGATATCACTCATTCACCCTATTCAGACAGTTAGTAAAAGTTTCTCAAATGAAAACTCATTACAGAAGATGTGAGCCAGTCAAACATGGAAAAGTTTATTTCCCACCTCCCTAAGTTAAATTCTTCTTCTGAAACAGTTTCCATTTGAGTACCTGCACAATAATCCTGTGAACACAAGTCCTTCTCTCTTCACTATTCTGTCTGGTATCTGTCAGAAATACATTAATTTCTGAAGTTTCCATGCTTTCCTCCATCTAAAGCAACTCTACAAGGCTGCCTAACCTAACACTGCATCTGTATTTTGCCTGGACACTTACATAAGACTAAGGGACACATCATACAGGTAACAATTAAATGTTCCCTCAAGTTTGAGAGGAATCCATTTCTGCCACTCTGTGGTCACCCTACCGTGCTCCCAGCACAAAAACATTGCTAATTTCTGCCAAGAGTTCCATCACTCCTGAGGCGTGCATCTGTCATCCCAGTTTTCCTACAGGGATAATTCACTGTCCCCCTAGTCCAGATTTTCCACACTCTCCTATCAAAGGTACAATCTGTCTGTGGGCACAGAGGTGTCCCTGGACATAGCCAACATCTACCACTGCAAGAAGTTATTGTCACACTTTCACACAAGAGATAGTTAAGTCACATGGACTTCTCTTGCTCTTCTTGCTTTAAAGGTAAGAGGTGATCTCAGCACTGGGTCATTGTGTTAGTTCAGTCATGATGCAAAAGCAAGAACTAGCATTTAATGAAACCCAAGCACTTTCCTGTTGCAACTTGGATTTTCCTGGAAACCCTGCCATCTGGGGAATGATCAGACTTGACCCAGTTTAAGCTAGCAGTTATCTACAGAAAGTCATACAGATCCTGCACTGACAAGTCTACTCCTCCAACACTAGTGGTTATTATTAAAACATCTTATTGGTGCTCTATTGAATTATCTTACAGTAGAAATATCCAGTGTTGAATTCTAAGGAATTAACCCATTTAACAGAAAGACTGCTACACAGCACTTACTTTAGGAAAGAGCAGTGAAGAGATGGTGCTTCAGTTCTGGTTTCAGAGTCAGCAATTTGTGACTGGGGAATTTGGAAACACTGGCAGCTTAATTTCTTATCATACATTCTAAAGATTAATGCTTCCTTGTCCTCTAAAGACTCACTTTTCTTTGTCAGTGTAACCCATGGAGATTGAGAGACAAAAATCTCAAGAAAGCTGCTTAACTCCATTTGTCTATACAGTTATTACCATGACAAATTGCTATTTCAAACTTACTCTTTCACGTCCCTCCCAAAACCACTTTTGAGTTGGTCTCTGGTATATAAAGCCCCACTGATTTACACCACACCTTTGGTGAGCCCCAGCAATTCATCAAGATCATACCATTGTTTGTGCACTTCTGCTGTACAGCCCAGTTCATGTATTTCCTGAGAAACAGTTGCCACCACACGAGGATGATTTGTTATGCATCATTAGCCTCCAGATTTATGGTGTCACAACGATAGTACTCTGTACTCTGTTCAACCTCAACACATATTTACTCGGATAAAGGTGTGGCCAGACCCTTGAGACAACCAGAACTCTTCCACATGTTTAACTCCTTTGGGTTCTGGGAAGATTTGTTGTTGAGTATCATCTGCTGATCCAAACACACACTAAATTACTTGAACTGAGTTTAAGTCTTTCAGAGATTGCATGTATTTCACTGGTCTGCCTCCTGCCCTTTGGAAAAAAGGGGGCAGATGCTCAGTACAAGCAGTTTTGCTCTAAAAACTCATACCCAGCTTCCTGACTTTCTAAAAATGCTACATTAATTCTGAAGCTGAAAAGTGCACAGTTGGGATTAAGTAAGAGAGAAAGATCCAGATAAGTAAAAGATAAGTATGGCCTAGCAGGTTTTTGGTGGTGCCCAATGAGGCCTGACACATCAGCAGGCAAAGTGTAAAAATGCAGAGGACTTGCCCTTATCATGCTTCTGGCCACAAGTTACAGCCTGGGGATGCCCCAGAGTCCCCACTCAGCCAGCACTCCCAGCCAAGGTGAGGGAGCACTCTCTCCTTCTACCCCACCACTCCCATGGCAGCTGCCTGCCAAGAAACCTGCAGCCAGAGCAGGGTGACCCTGCTTGTCAGGCTGAAGTTTTCCCTCACTTTTGGACTAGCTGGTTTAGCTGGTGGCAGTAGTTGACAAGTTTTCAGCCAGATGAACAAGCTGGTGCCCCTCAGTGAGTGGATGGAGCAGAAACAACCCCCCCGTGTAACACCCAGCTGATAACATCTCCCTGCCTGTTGCTGCCAAAGGGTGAGGTCTCACTTGTTCCCCCCAGCCCAACTCCTCCCTGCTCTGCCCCAAGCCACAGTCCCATCCCTTCCCATGCTTCCAGCACTGGCACTCAAATCTTTCTGCAAGCTGATTTAGCTCACACAGGTCCCAGGAAGCCATTCCTGCTCCTCCCCATCCAGAGAGATGATTCAATTCCAAAAGTGCTTCAAGTGAGATCTGGGAAAGAATGGGAATGTGAAGTCAAGTGGGAGGGGAGCCTCTCCCTTGTGGGATCCAACTATGTCAGCTCAGCATCCCATAATCATTCCTTCACACTGACTGAAGGCCAAGTGAAACACACCATGTGATGGGGCAGGGAAGAGTTAAGAACATGTGGAAGCTGTTTAAGCAAACCCAGAAAAGTTTTCTCAGCTACATGATGGGAGTGACAAGCCCACCAATTGGTATATAAATGATGAGTGAGAGCAACAAGAAGTTATGCCCACCAGCATCTAATCAATTAAGGTAATTAATATAGCCATAAAAAGCAAAATGAAATTTTGGAGGCTGCTTTTGATATAAGCAGCAAAATGCAAAGTTAGGCAATTTAGAAAAAGCTGCTTTGAGCTTGAATGTGTTCCAGCCCATCTCCACCTGAAAAGGCAGCTTAGAACAGGACAGAGGGACCAGCAGAACTGGTGACAGGCACCTCTCTGCCTTTAAGGGAGAAACAGAGGCAGTGTAATAACATGAGCAGGGTGGAGGAGAGAGAGCAAAGTTCACAGCTGTTTCTAGAAATGACTGTCCAGGATTACCAGCTGCAATTGCAGGTATCCTGAGAGCTGGGGCTGACAGCCATGATGTTATTTCCCTCCCAAAGCATCTGGGGGTTTGTCCTTCAGCAATTACAATTAGCAGAATAGTTCAGTTTCACCTCCATAATTTCAATGCCAACATTTGTGCAGGAGATGAAGTATGTATGTTCCAGGACCTGCAAGGTTAAATCTAGGGATTTTGATGGGGGCATGATGGTAACTGAAGAATGACAGGGAATGAAATGTCCCTGTCTCAGGGACAGGCTGTTCTGTGAATGCGAGAGCACTCAAAATTATTTCAGATGAATTTGTGAACTACTTCTGTGAAAACTTCTTTCAAGGCAGCATCTTTCAGCACAGCTTTTAATTTAGTCATGATCTTTCTACACAGCTTCTGGGATGAAGAGGCTGTGACAGTCAAGGGACTATATTCAACAGAAACTTTTTTTGTACTGTAATTGTAATTCAACATTGCACAAACTAACTCACTGAGCTCTTTAAGCCATGGGTTTTTTTCTTGTGAAACTCTTAGAACAATTATAGCAATTTTAGCAATATTTACTTTCTTCTCAGAAAATCATGTGTTGCTACCAAGCTTTCGATGTCATCTTTCTGTCTCAAGAGAAAATATTAAGCTTCTCAAATTAGTTGCTGAAGAAAATACAAGTTTGACATCTGTTCCTTTCCTGCTGCTATAGTAAGGTTATTTTCATTTCAGCACAAATAAGTTTGATTAATTAAAAATCAACAGCAACTAAGAAAAACATATTTGAAAGTCCTTTAAATCATTCTAAACTAAATATTTTAAGTAGTCTTGCAACTAGAGGCAAGGTTGAAAACTATTGGTTTCAAAACTTCAAGGTACATATATGTAACAGAAATTGTGTTGCTGTACTTCCAGCTTTTAAAGCTTTAAGTCAGTTATGCAGAAGATGAGTGGCCAAAGAGAGAACAGTGAATAACTACTAATTTATACATAACAGCAGTGAAAGGTAAAAGCAAGAGCACTGCAGACTAAGGATGGCTGGAGTTAGTGTTGGAATGCACTCTGCTGGCACAGTGCAGCAGTGAGTAACAGAACTGAGGAATTAGACACGTTCATGCCTGAGTAATCAAGTCATGACAGAAAGCTCTCAGCTCTGAATAGACTTGGTCTCAACATAACCCCACTGAGTCAGACAGAAGATGTGCTGTGTATGGAATGCCACGATGCTTCTAAGGTTCTTCAAGCACAGAAACTGAGTGGAGTTTCTTGCATTCAATTAGTTTGTATGATAGGACTTTTTTCATTTGTTTGTTCCCATTCTGAAAGGAAGTTTAGTTTTGGGAGGGAAAACTGAATTTTCTGGAAGAAAGTGAGCAGAAACTAAGAGCAAATGAATTACCTGTCTTTGGTGGTCCAGATCTGCTTTATTACCAACAAGAATCATTGGAAACTCATCGCGATCTTTCACTCTAAGAATCTGTCGCTGAAACTTATAGATTTCCTCAAAGCTGTGAAAGAACACAAGGAGAGCATCAGTGCAATAATTCACAGATTCTCAGGTTCTGAAAAAGTTCAGAAATCATGAGTCACAGACTGGGATTTGCCCTGCCATGACACACAAGCACAGACAGCTGCAGGCACTCCAGAGTCACAGGATGATCAGTTAGAGAACCATTCAACACTCAAACCAAAAAAATCCCCAAGTGAGCAGTGTCCTCTGCACTGGGCTGAGGTGGGGCTGCGGGGTGAGCAAAACACTGACTGTGTCTCAGTCCATAGAGACCCAGGGCCAGTGTGCTGCAGGGAATCAAGCAACCACAGTCCATTCTACAAACACTGACTCTGGAGTTCTACTCCATCTAGAATATTCAAACTACAGCATAGAGACCCTGGTGATCAATATTTCAGCTGGCAACTTCCAGAGCTACTTCTATGAATTTTGGGGGAAGCTATCAAAGCTGGAAAGTTTTGTTTTGTCAAGCACAGGAAAATGGCAAGGCTAAATGAGCAGAAAGCTTTCCAGTTACCAACTAAATTAAATCAGGTGCTGATGCTTTTCAAGCATAAGGAATATTCCAGCAGTGTTTAAGGAAAGGTTAGCAGAGCAGAAAACTTCTTCCAGGACGGTATGCTAAACAAGTTAATTCTGGCCTAAGGAAGGATTTTTGGAGAAGAAAGAAATAAATCACTGCTTTCAAGTAAACACTGTTAAAGCTACATCACTACATAAGGTCTTTCAGCACAGACATTTGCAGGCCATCACATACCCTCTGTAGCCTTCTAGACATATAGCCTAAAGGCATTTACACCTAATTTGCCAGCTAAAGTTTAAGAGCAAGATGATCACCAGTAAAAAAGTCACATTGAAAAGAACTAGGTAGCCAGACACCTAATGCAAAGGTAACTAGAAGGGATGTACGTCACTAAGCATTGCTCTCCCTGAGCTTCTAAGATGTTTCATCTGCATTCTGCAGCCATTCAGTCAATGCATAGGAGTAAACAGAGGGACCTCTGCCTGCAAAGAGTGCAGGCACATACCCTATACCCACCCAGAAACCCAGAGCCAGCTACTTGATGCTGCACATGGCAAAGGGATATTCCTAAGAACTGACTGAACACCAGACAATCCCAGGAAAATGGTATTCTGGACTGTAATAAAGTTCTTGAATAGAGATGTTATTTTTTTGTGTATGCTTCCAAGTCATCTGTTGAAACAAATAGACACTTTCAAAGTGATTGGTTCAAAGCTGGTCTTCTTCAGTGCTGAAAGAGCATCACACCTTGCACCTCACAGTGAACACACACTTAATGTTTTGTTTACTTCATTTAAGGATCACGCGCAATTTAAAAATAATTAAAATTTGTTTGTTTTAATAACTTGACCTCAGGCTTACCTTCCTCTATCTGTGACTGAGAAAACAAGCAGAAAGCCCTCCCCTGTCCTCATGTACTGCTCACGCATGGCTCCAAATTCTTCTTGTCCTGCTGTATCCAGAACTGAACAAAAGCAAAAATATGGATTACTACATTTCATGTTCTCACAGACTGAAAAAAAAATCCTGATAAGATATTGTGAGAGTCTCTCCTGTGCATCATAGCCAAGCTGAAACCACTTTTCTCAGATATTACTGGATATTTTTCTAATGTTCCAAACAAATTCTTGCACTGATTGAACAATTCAAGACCTATCAAATTAACTGAAACAACAAAACACTTGAAGACTTCTGCTAATTCCTGACCATCTGAAACAGATGGAAAACACTCAGAGATACGTGGGGATGGGGATTGTTGCTTTATTCTTAAAGAAACCACCAACTTGCAAGAACTGAAATTTTTAAAGCAAACCATTTTTACTGCACTTGGGAGAGGCAGCACAGAGGTGTGTTTTCCATGCCACCATGTCACCCAGATAACTCCTGGGAATAAAAAAAAAAATTCCTAATCCTAGTTTTGTGGGCTACTTACTGTCCAAGCGTGCGGCTCTCTCGTCTATCACACATTGCTTGGTGTAGGAGTCCTCAATGGTTGGGTCATAATCCGTCACAAAGTAGGACTGCAGAGAAGAAAACAAGTTTGTCTCTTAGACAAGCACGCAGGACACTCACTGAGGGAGGGGCTAAAACTGGACACTTGACAGCATAAGGAAGGCGAGTGTGTTTATTCATGTACAACCATTTGGTTCTTCATCCAAAGATATCCAGTAATGGTTTTGCTATTCCTAGTAAATGCTCATAAATTGTAGAGATTACCAGCAGAGTCACTGAGTTAACTGGATTCCCACAGCCTTTCTAACATTTTCTAGACATTAGTGGTAACTCCTAGGATTTGTCAAAAATCCCTAGAAATTTTCAGTTTCTATGGACTTCTAAGGTCTCTTGTAATTTCACTGAACTTCTGGTAAGGTTTAGAAGTTCTTGGAAATTCTCAAGCTTACAAGACTTCCTCTCCCGATCCCAGATCCAGAGATTTCTAGGAAGTGCCAGGACTGTCTCAGCTGTTTCTAGAATTCCCTAGCAGTTTTAGAACAATTTCTAGCAACAGCTCCACACAGCAAAAGTAGCACTTAGTTTGTTAGCTGAAAGAAGTTTGTTGGAACATCCTTGTTCCCAGGATTTCTCTCCTGGTTTTAATGACTTTAACCACTCACATCACCAGACAGAAAACACCTAAAAGCAGAATAAGCCATGAAATGCCTGTGCCACCCATGGCCTAAGCACAAGGCTGCACCAGATACTGCCAGGCTGTTCCTTATCACCCAGACTGCAGAGCAAAGCACGTTCTGGTACATTTCTCTAGAGACTGGGTGATCTGGTACTGACTACTGGGATAACAACACCATCAGAAGACAAGTTTAGCATTCAAATTATGAACTTTTAGCTTGCATGCAGTCATAGTAAAGTTAACTTCACATAAAACTGAAGAAATCACATTGGCATAACAAATCTGAACCCTGATCAAATTCCTTCCCATCTATGCTCCCAGCAGGCACTCAGTGCAGAACTGCAGGTGTACCATGTGTACATTATTCAGTTCTGTAAACCAGTAAGGAATTAGGAATGTCTTGAAACTACATATTGGCTCCTAGGAAGAAAAAAAAAAAAGGGGCAAGGAATAAGGAATGTTTTGAAACTACACATTGGCTCCTAGGAAGAAAAAAAAAAAAGTAGGGGGCTTTGCTGAAGCACCTTTCCCATCACTCAAAGATACCAGCAGGACAACACTCTGCTCCTCTAAACTTACCAAAATCAAGTTAACAGATGTCACAGTTGGGAGAAAAAAAAAAAAAGGGAGGAGAAAAAATAAGAACTGAAATCACAGCACTAGCCCACTAACCTTCTCCAGACACACCACTGTCAGTGCAGAACACAGTTAACTGTGTTCCTTGCAGATAATTTCTGTGGCTGTACTTGCCCTTGTCCAGGTCAGGGGAGGAGCTGCTCATGAGGACAGCCTGCAGGACACTGTCCTGACTGCCCCCAGCTGACCCCACCACTTGGGCATGGCCCTGCCAGGTTTAGCAGCATTCAGGACTGGAGTTCCCCAGCAGAGCTCACGGGCTGAGCTGCAGCTCCCATTCTGGGAGCAGCACATCACCAGCTGTGGCACACTCAGCCAGCTGTGGGTGCTATATATAACCTGTGCTCATTACCACAGCCATCATGCAGTTGGCTGCAGGAGGAGTTTGTGCAGGCTGATGTTGATCTGTTCATTCAGAGCTGGCACCACACTAAAAAGCTGCTGCCCCCAGAGCAGAGACCCTGAGCAGCTCCTTTGCATTTCAAGCAGACATCGATGTCCTCTCAGGATACACCTACACAGCAGTCACAGCCTTTCTGCATTGGTGCACCCAGGCTGAACAGTCATCCTGCTTCAACCCCACCCACACCAATCAAAACAAACAAACAAAAAAAACCCCACTAACAAACCACTAAAAAAATTCCAGTAAACCAACAGGGATAGAATCCTAAATGCAACACACAGCCAAAGTGCCTATCTATAGGCAGCAGAACACTCACCTCAGAACAAGAAGCTCTTTCAACTACAACTCATCCCTTTACCTTGCTTCCCTTTAAGATTTAAAGAGGGAAAAAATTCAGCCTTCAAAACTGTCCTCTATCTTTTCTTTTTCCTGTATCCATGACTCAAAACGTGCTATCCAGGAGCTTAGGAAGAGACTTTGAGGAATGAATTTACACAAATAAGGTCTCACTTCTCCTGTGGCCTTTAACAAACCTTGAAAGATGGATGAGAAACTTATGTGAAACTTATATTTATCCATACAGATGGATAAATAAAATCACTTACAGAATCTGACATTAAAGGGATGATCACAAGGAAGGGAATTTAAGTCCTATATTTCATTAAGGAAACAGAAAATGATATTTATAAAAAAGCATTAGGTTACTAAACCATGGAAGATAAAGCCTGCACTCTGAAATTACTCCCTATCCCTCTCAGCTTCAGCTTTCATTCCTCCATCCTGCAGAATTCAAAGTTACTGTCTGAACCTTTACATCTACAAAATGGTAAAGGACATCAGCTTTTAAATAAAAGGGAGATTTTGAAATCAATTTATTTTGCTTTCATGAATCAATGTTAGTAGAACACCTAAAGCAGCACGTTTCTATCCAGCAAGGGCAGTATTTTTCACTGAAAGAGTTCAGAAAAAGAAAGCCATAATGATCTCAGATGGATTCTTCTTATTTTCCTCATTATCTGTCCAAGGGCCAACAACTACAGCATGTTCTGTAATCTGCAGGGCATTTCTGTGATTCCCTCCACCCTTTTCAGTTTTTGGTTTTGTTTTGTTTTTTTTTTATTAAAAAACCCCAGCTATACACAAAGCAAGAGTGCAAGACTGAAACATGGAACATAGTTCCTCCCTCAAAAAGGGAAACAAGATTAAGTCACCCTGATCCAGCATCCACCACATGTCAAATTCAGAACAAGCAGATGCCACAGATCCCCCATGTAACAATTGCTCTTACAAGTATTTTCTTCCCTCCCATGGAGCTGCCAAATCTGGTGTCACTGCCACTGCAGGAGAGGTTTGCAAGGCAATTAGTGCTGTGGTTTACCTCCAGGCACTGGGCAAGGCTTATGTGCCTGAAACAGCTGCTGGTTTTGAAGGAATCTTCCCAAATTGCAGTGGGACTGTGTGCTGCAGGACACACAACAACCACAGCTTGCAGGCCTTCTTCAGTCTGGGCTGATTTACAAAAAATAGATTAGCAGACACAGTTTTCACCACTTTGAGCAGAAATGGACCTTCCTGCTGCTGTTCAGGCAGTGTTTAAAGAATTAAGGCATGGCAGAGCATATCCTGAAGTGTCCCATGAGGCCATCCCTTCTCTTCTGAATGCCCTCTGGGCAAGGTGCCTGCTCACCCAGCAAGCCCAAGACCCAATGAATAACTTTGTAGAGGTCAAGGAGTTTGTGGCAGAACTGCTTAAAAGCCTAAGAGGAGCCCAATTCCAGCAGACACAAACCACTGACAACCCGTTGGTTTCAAAGTGGTGCCAAGTCTAGACAAACCAGAGGAGCAAGCACATCCCAGAGTACTGGAATACCCAGGCCTGCCTAGTGCTGGGTGTTTTATGAAAGCTGTGCAAGCCCCAACACCTCAGAGCAGCCACCCTGCCAGGCTACAGGGCTACAGCAGTCCCAGGAAGGACAGCAGGAGCCTGGGATGAGAGCTGGCATGGAACACAGGGCACGGCTCTCAAGGGTGTCAGATCCCCTCTTCCAGGAGCCATTGAGTTTCTCTGACAAATCCAAAGAGCCACGGCTCATTCATCTGGCTCCACTGCAGCTGGCCACTGCCTGCAGGAAATAATTAGAAGCAGTTAAATTTCTTCTGAGGAGATAGTAACTTGAACACGCTCCCCTGTTACACCACTCCCTTAATCACCAGCAAAATCAAAGCTCTTTCCACCCGTCTCCTAGAAGGGAAACGAGAAGTTGAGCCCAGTAGTCTCATCAACCATTCAATTTACCCAGAATATTATGCAACAGGTTTTCTAGGTTTTCTCTTTCTAAGACTGCTGAGGCAATCAAGCCCAGAGACAGGAAAGCCCGCTGCCAAGGACTTTTGCAAAGGGGAAAAAAGAACCCAAAAGAGCATAAAAATCCCCATTGCCACACTACCTACATCACTCAGAGCTAGGGAATCCACCACTGAAATCCCTTTTTATGTACACACTCGTCATCTTAAAATGCATTTCAAATGATCTGACTTTCACAGGAGTTTCTACTTGCAGTGCATGAAAACAATGACATTATACAGAATACTGCTCTAGCAGTGTTTGTTTTAGGCAACAGCAATCCCTAAATCAGTGTTTCAATCGCTCAGGTCGTTTGGTAAGGAGAAGATATGAAAACCTGCTCTTAAGTTTATCCTCTTCCTCCATTTATTTCTTGCCTTTAATACACATAAAGAAATTCCTCCGTTAGCTGACAAGCTTGAGTCCCACTCCATAAATTAATAAAAATTACTAAGTGAAGACACCTTTGATAGAAAACCTCAGAGCCAATTCACAGTTCTTACACTGCTTTTCACATTTACCCTTCATAAAGTAATAAACAGTCCACAAAATGAAAAGTCAGGAGATAACCTTCTTTTGCACTTTTATGTTTTAGGGTGGGAGAGAAGTAGGATGTTGTTGACAGGAAGCTGCCTCTCTAAGCTGCAGTGCAGAGGCTGGCTGCAGAGCATTCCTCCCTTTTCCTTTACACCAAGCTGGAAGGCCATGCAATGAAAGGCAGCCCAGCACAGTGAGAGCACACCACCACTATGAGTAAGTTAAAGGAGAGGTACATGCCAAAATATATATTCATCCTTGCTGTCTCTATAATCTCCCTCTGTATTTACTAAACATGCACATAATGTTTCAAAGAGCCACTGGTTGGTTATTTAAATTTTTTCCACATGTTTTAAGTTTTTGGTTCAAACCCAGTAAAGGCAAGGAAATAGAAGGGTTTCCACCCTCCAGCCACAGTTACAGATCAGCACTAGATTTAAATAAGCATCTGCAATTTGAGCACTGCAAACAG